AAAAAAAAAAAAAAAAAAAAAAGGACCACTGAAATTAAGTTAAGGTAAATTTGCTCCTGGAGAATAAGGTTCCTTTCTATAGATCCAATCACAAATTTTGATAGTATGAGCAAACTTTGTTCAGTGGTTTACTACTGACAATATTTTACAGTCAAATTTTTCTCAGTCTTAAGGTATTTACCAACCTGATTTGGAACTCTTGCTGCCAGATCATTGTTCCCAGCTTTGAAGTTCATGGAGTTTAATAGGTAGTCAAGTTGTTCTGGGAGGCTGAGTTTTTCCAGTGGGTCATTCTCAAACGTGCAAAGATGGCTTTGTACTGAAAAAGTGTAATCCATAAAGATAGATAAAAATTGTTGACATTCAATTGAATTTTGAGATCATGAAAAAAAAGATACGCACAAAAAAAACAAAAAAAAAAAAAAAGGAGGAGAAGGGGCAGGCACTGACACTACGGCTGCACTGATGCATCAAGGGGCAAAAGTCCCCGAGTTGTGAAACAACAGTCAAACCTTCTTCTACCAACATATTGACAAAACTCATTTACACAAATTCTAGATTTCAAGCAGCTTTCACATCAGTGTGACAGCCATCAGAAAAGCCTTGATTACCACATCCATATCTTTTAACTATGAAAGCCATCTATCTCCAAGGTAAGTGAAACGAAGGTGTGTTCTTGCCGACGCCTTGGACGACGATGTCGATGACCAACATGGCTCATAGTATTTTCCAGTTTCTTCCAAAGAACATAATATACCCAATAGTTATGATTTGGTTCAAAATAAAACAAAAATATTAAAGTTGATACAATTTGGTGAACTTAAGAGTCCGTGGAAATTTAAAAAAAGAGCCAGATTTGTGAAATGATAGGTATACTTGCTAGGATGGGCACCGAGGACTGCTCAGTATAAACGAATGACTGCAAAACTAGGAATTATCTGTTAGAATCAGTATTGGTGTTAAAAAAATTGCAATTTCAATTTGCTGTAGGTAACTCTTGATAAATGTTGTTCTATAATTGCAAAGTTAGACTCACCGGTGCGATAAACAGAACACAGATAATCTAGACATTGAAGGAGCGTCAGACCCATGACTTTAGTAGAGAATCTTCTATTTTGCAAATAGAAAGCGTGACACTCTTTCAGATGCTGCGATGTTTGTAAGAACAACAAAGCAGCCTCCGGGCATTTTTCAGCTTCAAGGTACCCTGAAAAGGTCAAAACAAGATCTGATGAATTTTTGGGTTTACAATACATGAAAATAGTGCAGCTTTAGAATAAACCGTCCCAAAATGTACCTCAGTCTGTAACACCACTTAAATATTGTTAAATACATTCTTCTGTTCCTCTACTTTACTTATGTTTATTAGATATATTTTTTATATCGATTAATTTAAATATATTCAAGTGCTGTTTTATCAGTACAGCACTTGAAAATTATTAAACACATTCTTCTATACCTCTGTTTTGCTAGTGTCCGTAAATTAGCGCTTGCTTGTTTTGTACTGAGCAAAACTTTGTAAGAACGGCCAGTTAGCAACTCTGTAAGGGTCTTTGGCATGCTTGTTTATCGACTAATTTCACCAGAAGCTGGAGAATCATCTTATAATTCCAACTGAGCTTGCTGATACTTTAGCAGAGCGCGGTAGACAGACTGAAAACTGGAGCTTACCTCAATCAAAGCCTCTTAGGGTAAGAGAGAACTAGGTTTCAGGGAATTGTCTCCTAGAAAACCTCCAACTTTAAGAGGGTAAAAGAACTTGTCAGCAGTTTTATCTTACGGACATTGATTGAAGGTGCGTAGAAGACGTAAACTTGCCCATCTCAATTACGCAGTTACATTTGCCAGATGCCCTTCAACAAGCCCATCAATCTACAAACAATTTTCGCCATTAGATTAGAATGTAGGGCTTTATTGCGAAAGCCTACTACTTATAAGGTAACTTGAGCGAGGACGAACGAAGTGGACCGTTTGACATCTGTCAATTTCATTTCCAGTGCGTCCTAAAAATTCCATTTCCATAGAGCACCTTGCTTGTAAATGGAGTTATTAGATATATTGAGAAAAGTTGGCGAAAAGGGTCTGTGTCACTCACCATAAACTAATCGAGCAACTTCCGAGGGCAACAGCGCCTCCATGTTTATCTTCCTTTAAAAAGATATCTGTTCAAAAACTCTGACTAATTAAAAAGGCATTCACTTAAGAAGTTTTAACGTTACACGCCGGGACATTCCAAATAAAGGCACAGTGTAAATTTTCATTGATGAGTTGAAAATTCACAGCACAATAAACAAAAACAAATAAGCTAATTCCTGATTATAACCTCGAAATTTTCCTTCTGATATTTTTTCCCTCCCCTGCATGCGCGCGAATTGCATCAACCAATCAGGGACGTTCAGCAGCAATGAGTGAACCATTTGGCGCGCTGTTCAAATAGTTTACATCTCGTGTAATGCGTGATGTAATTCGTGATGTATGTAATTCGTGTGCCATCGCCAATGGCTGTAAATAGGTAAATAAACACATTTCTGTGATGCAAAAACGTGATAAAGTGCTCACTGCACAACTTGAACACGCATCATGCTAACTTTTTAAGTTTAATCTTTTATTATTTTTGGTGTATGTATCTAGGTATGTGATTTTCCGTCTTGTGTCGTTTAAATTATTTAGAGGTATGTTCTTGAGGCATAGTTGAATTTCCGGCTTAAGAATGTGATGTGCAGAAGTTTGAAGTTGCTATCTTAAACGCCCCCCCCCCCTCCCCCCTACCNTACCTGCTGAACGCCTATAAATTATCTTTGAATATATTCCAATTAGAGAAGCATAAATTCCAAGAAAAACTGGACCGAGTTCATCAGAAAGGAGCCAACCTATATTAAGTTGAAACTGAGAAAAAGAGGGTTGTAGTTTTATTGCTGTATAAGGTTCAATGTAAAAAATAAACTTCGACCCTTCTTTTCACAAATTTTTGTTTTTTGTTTTTTTGTACATTTTCAATTTTTGACAGGAGAAAATATATGGCTATTGAAACTCAAAAACATTCTCAATTCAGTTTTTTCGAAAATGTGGGTTGGTTCTTTTCTGATAAACTCGGTCCAACTGTCAGTTGGTTTCCTTTTACAAAAATTACTTAAACATAAATGGAGATTTGCAACGCCGAAATCGAAATGCCGCTTTTGTCAACTTAAGCTATCGATTTGTTGTTCGTAAACAGTGCACTGTGTGCCAAAGAGAAAAATAAGAGAAAGTTAAAACTCTCCATTGCAATTGCAGCTGCAGAAGAAAGCTGCGCGACTCAGCAACGGCGAGACGCGCGCCTTCATTTCCGTGAGACACTTCCCGCATCGCCGCGAAGTTGATATAGTTGCGTGACCCAATCTAACCTAACTCGAGTCTCCCGAGGCAGTTCCACGCCTTTGCGACAGATTTGAATCGGGTCGTAATCATTAATTGAAGTGAATCAATTAATGTCGTAAGTAAACAAATATCTAGATGTCAAAAATATTCTGCTGCATTGTTGCTTTCTTTTTCGATATTGAATTGAGTCGAGACGTGCGAAAACCGTTAAGGTCCATTTTTCCGGTTTTCAGTTTTTTTGAGTTCACAATACTTTTCGGAGGTTGATGCAACTAAGAAAGAGGCGTTAATACTCGTCTCCGGGTTAGTTTAATGCTAAAACGAGTCTTTAATCACTTTTATGGTTGTATCAACTCTTTAAAAGTATTATCAACTCAAAAAAACTGAAGACCAGAAAAATGCGCGCGAAAATAGCGGTTTTCGCGCGTCCCGATTCAATTCAATATCGAAAAAGAAATCAACAATGCAGCAGAATATTTTTGATATCTAGATATTTGTTTACTTCCGAAATTAATTGATTCACTTCAATTAGTGATTTCGACCCGATTCAAATCTGTCGCAAAGGCGTGGAACTGCCTCGGGAGACTCTAGTTAGGTTAGATTGGGTCACGCAACTATATCAACTTCGCGGCAATGCGGGAAGTGTCTCACGGAAATGAAGGCGCGCGTCTCGCCGCTCCTGAGTCGCGCAGCTTTTTTCTGCAGCTGCAATTGTAGCGGAGAGTTTTAACTTTCTCTTATTTTTCTCTTTGGCACACAGTGCACTGTTTACGAACAACAAATCGATAGCTTAAGTCGACAAATGTGGCATTTCGATTTTGGTGTTACAAATCTCCATCTATGTTTAAGTAATGTTCAGTAATTTATGTTTAAGTTTATGTTAAGTAGTGTTTGTAAAAGGAAACCAACTGACAGTTTGTCTTCGAATTTATGCGTCTCTATTTTTATTTGATTATATTTAAAGAATAATTACTGGGATTTCTAATAATAACTGAAGTTTTGAAAAACTAACACATTTAGGCATCTAATTCTTTTGAATTAATCTCTAATCAACGATGATGAAAATAATTACAAAATTGTGTTCGTGAGTGAATGACTCTTCTTGTAAGCATATTCAGTATTTTGGTCCCTTCCCTTCCATAATCTATTTGTGCGGCAGCACAGCATGATATATTGCTCGCGTTTGAAGTGAAGGCGCTTTCTGTTTTTTAAGTCGGAGTTCCGCGAAATGAAGCCAGAAGGCATCAATCATCATGCAACAGTACCTACGCCTTAATTGTTCCCGTCACTGATGTGAGACCTCCACCTCATCTAGAGAAAAGACGGTACTCCGGAAAATTTAAGAATAAAAAGACATCCATTTTAATATTCCCGGAGTTTTTTTTATAATATTGCGAATGAAATGAGAGTGCCGCGTAATAATGAATAATCTCTGTAAAAATAGTGTATTTTTAGTGTTTCTAAGGAAATCAATAATACCGTCAACTTGGTAAAAGCTCATGTATGTACTAACCTATTTCATTTTTCTTATCGATTTTACCGTCGAGTGTTGTTCAATCTTCAGCTTCTTAATGTTTTTGTAAACTCCCGTCATACCATACCAACCATACCTACAATATTTTGCGCAGCAACATGAAAAAGTGAGAAACTTTGAAAATTAATCTGTTGTCTCTCCTTCAATTCTGGTGATGAGGCTTAAGCCACGTTCTGCAAAGTTTACCAGTGTCCGTCGGAAATTCGTTATCTACCGTCGGATTGAGAGGCGCCTTTCGAAGGAGTGATCCACGCAGTCTCTTTCTTGTAACCAAAATAGTATCCCTCGTAATTGAAGGCGGTCCTGTAGAATCGACGATCTGAGGAGTGACACTCGTTGAATTCAGGGGTCAGGGTTATATAATTATTTATTCAAACTGTGCTTTAGTCAATCCCCCCCCCCTTATCGTTGATTCTGAAAGGATGCAAAAATTATAGATTTCGCATCAGTCCATCAGTGAAAGGCACTTGAATCAGCTATTACAGAAAGGGCACAATCGACATTTTTTTCGAAATTGAGTATTTTGCGGTTTTCGCACTAGTGTATGTAGACACAGCCTGTAGTGCAGACAGGGCACTATATTCACACTTTTTATGTGTTTTTGACAGGGGTTAAGTTCCTCACGTAGTGCAGAAAGGGCACT